TTAAATTGACCCCTGCAGCCAGCACGTTTGTTCAAAACGTGCATCCTTTACTTTGAAGACGAGCTGTCTCTGTTTACGCTTCTCGACTTCCTTTTTCAATTTTTATTGTACAAGTTGGATAACGGAACAAACTGATGCTTTGGTTCACTGAATTGAATTGCACATCTTCCTTTGATGGGACTATAACACACGCAAAGTGAACAGTGATTAGGCAGCATCGGCTACTGAAGAAAGACCTGACAAACATCAACATACGTTTGCACTTAGCACAAGTACGACAATGAAATTAGGCAATACAAGCTGGCATTTTTTATTATACTACATGAGGAACTGCAGAAGAATTATACTTCATGCACAGACCATGCTGCATCATTTCCTTTAATTTCGTGGGGGGAAGTTGAATCCACTGTGGGAATGGGGGAATGTTTGTGGCCACTAAACTGGTACTACTAATAATGGTTGTAAACACATTTAATGGCCATTTATAGCATCAGACATGGGATCTGATTTCATGAGAGTCTTTGTAACTTTAAAGTTCAGTACAGTCATCAATAAAGTGGAAACACACCAACTGTTGAGAAAAAAAGACAAACTAAACATAAACGAAGAAAGAGGAACACTTGGTAGCACTTGTATTTTTTGAGTGTGCAGGTTGATCAGCTGATCAAAGCGCTAACAATGTTGTTATGTTTCAGGTGCAGAGGGAATGACTGCCCGAGAGAGCTTCCATGAGCTCAAACCTTTTCACAGATATATCAGAAAAACTACAGCAAATGGAAGAGCAGAAAATTGGAATGGAAGACAGAAGAGAGATGAAAAGGCACCGAAGATCAGAGAGAGCAATAATAGTCAGAGCACAAAGTTAAGCAGAAATGAAACTGAGTAAAAATAAAAGTAACATGAATGAAAAATGAATGCTAAAAAGATGACAGAAAAATGAGCAGAGACTCACAAGTGAAATTAAACGGGGTGGGAGTATTTTAGGCAGCACCCCGGAGCATTTCCAGGTCACTGCATTTTCCGAGGTGATGTGAGGATGATGACAGATGAAGGTGAAGCAATAAAGCAGCCTCTCCCCTGCTGTCTGGACGAGTGATACCTCCAGATTGATGCCAGCATCCCAGAGAGGTTTCACGTCTGAGGCCAACTGACGTTCAGACAACACCTTACACCACACTTATGCTAAAAGCTCAGGTGGATTCAAGGACCTGTCCGGGCTCCTGAGAGGCTTCTGCAGGTTTCATCATCCGTCGGATTCTTGTTTAGTGACACAATAATGCTTACAAAAAAAAATTAGTTTCATGGTTATTTTTTTGAAATACAATCAGTGTACATACACTAGCTTCATTTTGTGGTGATATCATAGCAACATGGCTCTATAGGAATGGTAACATTGTTCGGTCGGTCCACCAACTTGGTCCAGACTGAAATGTCTCAACAACTATTGGATGAAATGTTATGATATTTTGTAGAGACATTCATGGTCCCCAGAGGATGAAGCTGAAAAGTCCCCCTGCCGCTGACTTTTCCTCTGGTGCCACTGTAAGTTGGCATTTTTGTTTATTTGTGAAATATCTCAAGTAACTGTTTGATTGATTGCCACAAAATTTGGTACAAACATTCTTGGCGCTCAGACGATGAATCCTAATGATCATCTCACTTTATCTAATTTTTTTTTTTTTTAAATCTAATTCATGCCACAACCATGAAGTAAAAGCTTCAGCTTCATATACTGAATGACCACAGGGACAAGATGGAGAATATGTTCATGTTTTCACTTGGTTATATTGCAAAAATAACAGCAGTGTATTTGCACTGTCTACACAGTTTACTGTCCAAACTATTTATGAGAGCTCTGCACCTTCAGAAAAAAGACCAGACACCAAAACTTTGGCTACGACCTCAGTTCATTGTGTAAACTGGATGCCAGCCTGTACATGTTCTGTGGACACTATTCATTCGTCTGATGTGTGCTGGTGTTGCATAACAATGAAATATTGATGGGAAAATAATGCTTTTGTAGCTTACAGTGTAGCTGGAGCACTCAAATGTAAAACGTGTCAGTGAACTCCCACATCTCCACATAACAGATCTCTGCTCTCCACATCTTTTTCAGCCCAATAAAACCAGGAGAGCTTGTTGGTAAATGCTGAGTTTAATGTTTGTTTTCTTTCTGCAGAAATGGTGAGTCATGGTGCTGGCGGTGGAGCAGCAATGACATTTATGTCGTGATTCAGGTGGAGGGAGAACCAGACAGAAAAATCTAGTTGGACCTCTCACTTAATTGAGTTTAGTCTCATCCCACATTATGAGCATTATGAGATGTTGTGGAGATGGGTGACTAAGCCAGATGCCAGATAACTGGCGTTTTTGTTTGTGGATTTATGTGTTTTGTTGCTTTGTCCTTCTTTTCAGTAGTATCATGTTTGTTCTTAGCTGTGTGTGTGTGTGTGTGTGTGTGTACATCGACTGCACAGATCTGTGTATAAACCTTGTGCATATTTATCCTGGAAGCCTGTGTTTCTTCCCGCTAATGTACAGATGTTTGTGTGAATATGCTCTGGGTGTGTATCTCTATGTGTCTGTGTATGCTCGTGCTGTGTGTACTAGTGTGTATGTGCCTCCCTGTGTGCACATGACTGTCAGTTTGCTGGCAATGCAAAAACATGTCATGTGTGTCCAGAAAATCAGAGTAATGCAGCTGTCTGATTCACTTAACACACATCAGTTAGTAGGTTGTGTTGTCATCCATGAGAAGAGAGAAGGGGACGCCAGCAGTGTGACAGTTACACAACCTTTAAGCTGACTTGTTTGTTTCTCCAACAGGCTGGTCTGTTAACAAGACTGACTGGGTTATATTGTATCCATGGTAAATTGAATAATTTTTTTTATTTTTTTATTGCCCCAGGTTGTTTTCAGTTTAACAGTTATCCATCCTTATCCTAATATTGGACAGAATCTTGTCATGATATCATGATCTTCAAGTCCTTTATTGTTTAGGGCTGCAATCTGTGCCACATAAAGCACATGCATCACATTGCTAGTTCCAGTAACTGCTACAGAGCAGAGAAACCAGTGAAAATGTTGATACTGTTTTAACCGGTTTCTTGTCCCCTGGCCTAACTTTCTAAGTTAGTTAAAACAATTTTCATTGAAAGTTTCATTGAAATATGTTTTTTGGATATACTGCTAAATAACAACAACCCTGAAAGACCAAAAAACATAACCTCCTTCGCAGAGGTGGTAAAAGCATGAAAAATGTTGTTGACCTCTTTTTAGCAAAAGCATTGTGAGAACTTGTCAAGCATAAAATAAGTCTGAGAATCTGCAATCTGCAGTTTTTATGTCTCAAAGCAATGTGAGAGGCCTAACAGAGTCAACTCCAAAGAGGTCGAATCAATAGCTTATTATCAAAATTAAGATTGTGTGTTTAGGATTTGAAAATGTCTGACTGTGGCAACTCCTAATATTAAAAGACACTGGCACAGAATGCAATGGACATCACTGAGGGCACATCCCTTATGGCTGCATCGTGTGTTTCATTACAGTGACATTTCTGCCAGACCTAAAAAAAAAACAGCATGATTGTTTTAAGGGGTTCACATTAGAAAAATCCATTAACATTAGCTAAATAAATAAATAAATAACCTAAACAAAGGACTGATATTATCTGCTAAGGCAAACATGTGTGAACTAGAATGTCTGAATGGCAAATGGATGCTGAGAAGACAGGAAACACTGGGCAGAACAGCTAGATAATAACCAACCATATGCAGCAGCAGAGACACAGCAGCTCACATCTGGAACCTGCTGGTCCTGTTGTTGAGATTCCCACACACAGCAAATGTTCTTGTTGCCAGTAATGGGGAGCGGAGAACTGGTTTTCTAAGCAGCTTTGAAATGTTGAGACGCTTGTGTGCATGTGAGGACGGCAGAATCACAGACAGGGCCACACCTGCATTAAAAATCAACACAGACTCTCAGTTTTTCAAATAACTGGGTCTCATAAAGTTTTGTTTCTTTCTAAATTCTTGCTTTTGTGCATATACTCCTATTTAAATAAACAATTCTTGTATATGAGTTGGGCCTCCAAATGTTGCAGGCGCATGCAGTGCTGGCCACTGGTTTAGAGTGCTGGCACCACTGGGCATAAACCAGCATTGTTATCAATTAACAAATCAATTTTTTATATCGGCTAGGCATTTTCAGGGTTGTGGAGGACTGGTGCTTATCCTAGCTGGTACTGTGAGAGGGGGAGTACACCATGGACAGATACTGAGACATATAAACAAACAACCATTTACTCTCATTTTCACATATTCAGATAAGCATCAACAACTAACCTACATGTCTTTGTGCAGTGGAAGGGAACCCATGTATACTTTTATTGCATGTTGTAATTATATATATGTGATACACACTAATACTTACTAATACTAATATAAAATAAAGGTCACTACTGTATATCTGGAGTTGCATTCATTTTGTAACTTGTGTTCAAAATAATCAATATTTATGTTTTATGCCTCAACCAACATTTCTAATGCTAGTGCTATACGAATGCTATAAAACAATAGCCTTAGAGGGTTAGATATCATGTTAGATATCATATCTACTGCCCTTCATCATACTTACAAAATGTACAATACTATGACTTTGTCAGAATGGAAATGTGATAAACACTTTCACTTTATCTAGCAGGTGGCTACAGTGAGTTTAGTTTAGTTCAGATTTCACTGTATCCAGTGAAAACCAGAGAAAGACCACGGAACCTGTGTTTTTATTTTTTGCCTCCTGTCGCCATCTAGTGGATGATGCAAGAAAAGCAAGTCCTCCCTGATTGGCTCAATTTGCGATGTGCTTGTCTCTGATTCGTTTGTAAAAATTCCGCCTTCTAGAAAAATCTCCCGTGTGGAAACACAAACAGCCCAAAGCTTCCTCATTATCACGAAAACTAAAATGTTTAATGTTAGTTAGATTTTTGTACCGCTAACATCTTGTCTTTTATGCTCATATTTTTTTTTAGAAATACCCAAGGGAGAAATACGTCCCCCTGGTTTAGGAAAGGAGGCAATAAACGTCGTCGTTATGTTGTTTCTTTCCGGAAGACAATAGAGAAGGGACGGACTCGATTTATGGAGTTTCGAGGAACAAATTTGTTGTGAGAGTTTCTCTCCGAGGCTGTTTGAACAAAATGAGGAGTTTTCGAGCATTTCTGAGCACAACACTCACCTTGGTGGTACTCGAGGTCTGTCTGGTGTGTTGTGATATAACGGACGGAAACGCAGAACATCTGAAAAGAGAGCACTCGTTGATGAAACCGTACCAAGGTGAGATGGTCCAGTTAGCTCGTTAGCTAACCAGATGTTCCTCCACTTTCCCACCTGTCGCTGCGGTTTAGGAGTTATTTAGCAACATTTGCAACATCTTGGATAATTAATCTAACTGACTGTGTTACTCATACGAACTATCTGATAATAAACGGTTATATGCGTTTTAAAATGTGAATGTAATGCACCCAGGGCTGTGTCACTTAAAAAGTGCGAAATTCGAACATTTAGCTGAAAGAACAGAAACATATGTGGCTCAAAATGTTAAAACGTTAGTAAACAAAACTTTGATTATGTGTCAGTTTTATGATAAACCTACGAAACTTGTCAGCTAACATACTGTACACATTACAGCTGCAACGATTAAGTGAATAGTGACTAAATTAACAACTACTCTGATAATTCGTGTTGACAGATTTCATTTATATATGCCGATATCACAAATTTGCCTAAAGGGTCTCACAATCAGTATAGCATTACCACACCTTCTGTTCTAAGAACCTCTATTCAGATAAGGAACTCCAAAAACCTTTTAATGGAAAAAATGGAAGAAACCTTAGGAAGAGCAGCAGAGGAGGGATCCCTTTTCCAGGACAGACAGACATGCAATAGATGTCTGTGTACAGAACAGAGCAAGATAGGAGATTGATAGTAATGACAATTAGGATCACAACATTATAGATTGAACACATTACTGGAGAATATGATGTGGGAGGACAAAGAATAACTTCCAGGTGCCACCAACGGATAGGATCTGAACCTATTATTGTTTTAGGTATTAAGTAAAAAAGCCAAATATTTGCCAGTTCCAGCCTCTCGAACATGATAATTTGATGCAGTTCTTTGTGTTTCTTAATACAAAACTGAATATGTTTTTGTTTTGCACTGTTGTAGAAAACAACACATTCCAAGATGCGTTTTTCACTCTTCTTTCTGACATTTTATGGATAAAACAATTAATTGATTAATTACAATGAAAACAATATTTAGTTGCACCTGTAATATGCATTCTGCAAAATGGTTATAACAAAACCCTCTAAAGATGAAACTGAATTAAGTAGTTCTGAAAGTTGTAAAGGAAGTTTATCACTGCTCTAAATCAGATTGTTGAACACAGGTGCCTGGAGCTGTTACAGTTAAATAGGTTGAGGAGTGCGCCACAAACTGTAAGAATCTCATTTGCGTATGAGTTATGAGGTAAAATATGTGTCATCAGCCCTCAACCCGCGCAGGGTGTGTGCAAAAAAGTGCTGATGAAGGAAAACGTATTAGATGCCAGTCTGTGTACAGCTTTCAGCCCCACCCTTACTGATGATAATAAGAAATATAATTACACATACAAATAATTGGTTTATAATATATAAACATGAGACACAGAAAACATGTTTATTATTAAACAAGCAATAATCACTCCATAAGTATATCTCTTAGCTTTGGTTTCTTTAATACCAAGTTGAATGTTGACAGTGGATAAGAAGAAAAATATGAAGATTGCCTCAAGCAGAACACAAAATAAAGTGTAAGTGAAGCAAATAGTCTATTACAGAGTTTAACACAGTAATCTTCAAAGGATAAAACTGGCAACAACTTCATTCATTCCATTAGAGCCTAAAGGCTGAAGTTAAAACATAAAACTTTTTCTTTAACATAATTTGGTATCATGGTAATTCCACTAAGGTGAAGGGGAACCTTCTAAATTTAAAGAAAATCAGTTCTACAAGAAAATGACTGGTTGAATCAATGTGTTCTTTCATTTTATAATTAGTGTGTGTGCAATTCAGATATTTTTACATGACAAAGGTATTTGGCTAAAGATTCACATGCAGATCAACTACGTCAGTGTGTACTGTGTAGTGCATTCCCCCCTACATATGCCACTTGATGTTTTCTTCAAGACTAACCAAATGTTTGCATAGGAACCTCAGTAAATGTTGAGCAACCGCCTTGTTTTACGTGTTTTACAAGTTATGCATATTTGCTCATATGAGGCCACAAGAAATCTAAAGCGGTTTTAAAAGCAGTTTGGCATGAGAATGTTTACACAAGAAGGGAACAGTACATACTATGCAAAGGAGCACTATACTGAAAACTAGGGCTGGGACGATTATCCGACGTAATCGACGTTGTCGATTATAAAAATTATTCGACGTGGAATTTTAGTGTCGACGCGTCGTGTAAAACCACACAGGGTAAATGTTCATAGACCAAAACCGGAACTTTCTAATGGGACCGTTTATATCCATCGTCTTTGGTTTACCCGGATACAAGCGCAGCGCAAGGACTGGGACAACGCGGTGACGTAATTGAAGTCATTGTGAATGATTTGCGTCTGTGTAATCTATTTGAACAACATGACGGCCTCTACCAGCAGTACGACGGAGCGTGTGGAGCAACACGCGGCAAAAAAGGCTCGCACACGGTCCTCCAAAGTTTGGGAATACTTTAATCTTGACACCAACAGTGCGGTAGTCTGCAGAATAATGCTCATGGTGGTGTTTAAGAAATGTTTTAATAAATATTGAAATGTTAAAAATGTTTTTTTTTTGTGTGTGTGTGTGTGTGTGTTGGACGGGGCAAGTTGTTATATTAAATGACTAACTGGAAAATAATTACAATAAAATTACTGTTAGGTTAATAAAAAAAATAATCGTTAGATTAGTCGAATAATCGAAAAAATAATCGCTAGATTAATCGTTTAAAGAATAATCGTTTGGGACAGCCCTACTGAAAACCTTAAGTGAGCCATCTGGCACAGCAGTTGGTCTGGTCAACAGTAAAAATGAGACCAATCAAAAGCAACTCGTACCTGTGCAATAAGTTAAAGACATTTCTGGAAAACAACTTGAATTCTCTTCTCTCTGTCATATTCTCCGCTGTGTCTGATCATGCCTTGTCCTTTCATCTGTTTGTCTTGCAGGTGTTGGCAACAGCCCGAGCAGCCAGTGGGACTTCTGGGGAAGCACGTTGGTGACTGGTTCTTATGTTAGACTTACTCCAGATGAGAGAAGCAAGCAGGGATCCATCTGGAACACTGTGGTGAGGATGGATTACAAACACAGCTATTATCTCCAGTCTGACTCGGACGCATTGTCGTTTATACCCAAACCTATGCTATTTCAGCTTTGGGTTTAGAGTACATGTTCTCCATTGAGTTCATCTGAAGCCATGCCCATTCAACCTGGCTCTCTTTAAACTTTTTCAGCCTCACATATTAATTAGATTTTTCTTGTCTTCTCCATTTCTGTGTAGGTGAGAGTTTGTCATCTGTACAATATGTAAATGCTCATTATCTCTCATTGAATTGTTTTTGGATGGAGAAACATAAATGTGCAAACCAGGAATGAAATTTCTACTTTTTATAACTGATAAACTTTTACATGATTTTTACAAATTATATTCAATCTCTGATATGTAAAATGAAATACTCAGAATTAATTGTGAGGTGTGTAGAATGAACACCGACAAACCTCTTTAAAAATGACAGCTGTCAAGAAGAATGGGTTTGATACCATACTTTGCTCATTCTTATGAAGCTGCCATAGAAAGTAAATACTTTGCCTATTTCTGTCCTACAGCCTTGTTACCTGAAGGACTGGGAGATGCATGTGCAGTTTAAAGTTCATGGGTCAGGAAAAAAGAATCTCCATGGCGATGGCATTGCTATCTGGTACACAAAGGACAGACTGCATCCAGGTAATGATGGCCTTTCAGCCCCCGTGGCTCTTTACTGCTGAGTTACCGCTTTTATGGAAGAAACTTACCCATTTCATCTCAATCATCTCAAGTTTGGATTTACTCAAAATGCAGCACTTAGGTGTCGCCTGCAGCTGCTCAGCTAACCAGTTCACTGCTTTTTTGACTGCTACTCTACTGCAATATTCAAAAAACAAAAGGTTTTACTTCCTGCAGCTGCATCACAATAAAAGCCTTCTAGTTGTACATTGGGTGAGCTCTTCTACATCATATGCAACAGTGAAGCAAAGTGCACCAGAAAACAGAGAGGCTGCTGTTAGATAGATGAATATAATAACAGATGTCCAAACCATGAACGCATCAGCATCAGTGAGCCAATAAGTATGCAGCATGCTTGGACCAGGATCTAATAATGATGGTAATTGACTGTTTGCACCATAATGTATATTGTAATTTTCTTTTTGTTAAAATGGATGTGATCTCAGTACAGCTATCAAAATATTTGTAACACTTTGCCTCTTTTTTCCTCCGGGTTTAAGCTTTAACAATTGCAAATGTTACATCAGGGCAACACAGAATATGTCACTGTTATGAACAGTATGTAAAGGTAATGGTTAAATGCATAAAGTGCTATAGCTCAGATAGAGAAATGTAGATCCAAACATGTGCTTTTGTCCCAGTCATGTCGTCTCACAGAAAAGCTCTGAAAACTTGCTCACTGAGTGTTAATGGACACTATCATCATTCTCACTCCATCAGAAAGCTTTTTATTTCATCATGTCCACTTGTTTGTGTCCATCATCTCAGCTTGCTCTCATCACTGCTGACCTCAGAAAATGTGTCTCAGGTTGTCTGCTCATGTTTCACCTCATCTCTGCCTCCATCCTAGGCCCTGTGTTTGGAAACCAAGATCAGTTTCTTGGCCTGGCTATTTTTTTGGATACCTTCCGCAATGACCTCCATGGAATGGATGTAAGTGTGCAGTGTATGTGCGTGTGTATGTGGCTCGAGGTGATTGACTGGCTTGTTTCTTTGCAGGGCCTGTGTTTTCCAACAATGCTCTCTTCCACGGGTTGGCCGTTTTTATAGATACTTACTCTAACGATGATGCGACGGATGTGAGTGGTTGCTCAGGTTTTCCTCGTCAGCATGCCATGTCTGTGTAGATTTTGTTTTCTTCACTTTAAATCGGCATGTTGTCAGATCTTTAAGCATGTTCACAGTGAAAACCTCATAGATTTTGTTTTATAATGTCACTTATTTGTTGTGCAGCAGCAAAAAATTTAATCACATGACCTATTGAGCATGATGGCTCTCTGGCAGGAGCTGTGCTTTCTTCACTTTGTAAATTGTCGTAATGTAAATTTTTGTTCATTTCAAGAGAACTTGTCTTGTGACAGAAGCTACTTTCACATTGCAGCTGAAAGTGTCTTTTTAGTTGCTTTTTATCCGGTGAGAACAGCTGAAATCTGGACAGCATGGCCATGCTGTGCTACACACATCTGTGAAATCCAGTTTACTTTTCAATTCTCAAATCGGAGCTTGTCAATATTTCCAATTATCACTTAGATAACAAACTGCAAGAATCAATACTGTCGAAGTATTTACATAATTTTGTTCAATTAGTTTATTCAAAAGCTGAATACAAACACTGTAATCAACATCTTAGGCACAAGTGGGGAAAGTAGGTATGAATATAGGCATCTTTTTGGTAACTCGTAATTTAGTTTGTATTGTATTGATGTCAGATAAATATGACCTGTCATCCAAAACATCAGATATGAGCAGTGTATTAAAACAGATCCTAAACATGCCTGCAGTGTGAAGGTAGCCTTGAGCTGTTATGCGCTGACATGACCCAAACTGTATTCTGGGTTTTTTATATTTTCTTCTATTTTATTTAATTTTATATATTCATTTGTCCATCACCTCTGTGTAAGAGTATGTGTTTAATACCTGCTTTTTAAGATGTACTCGTTGATTCTTTCCTGTCTTGTCACCAGCGTTCCTTCCCGTACATTTCAGCCATGGTGAACAACGGCTCAGTGAGTTATGACCACGGCAAAGACGGACGGTCGTCGGAGCTGGGAGGGTGCTCCGCTGAGATCAGGAACAGAGAGCACGACACCTACCTCGCCATCCGCTACTCTAAAGGAAGACTCACTGTACGTAAAGGGCCTCGCTTGTGTCAGGGATACCACATAGCTTCTTTTCATTTAGTTCAGCTGGGAGACAATCGAGACATGATTTACTACAATATAATATAACATAATGATAATAAAATCACCACTTGCATATTTACATTTTTGTGTCTGGATTTAGTTTAAACTCTTTTTTTACTACAAGAATTTTCATTTTCTTGTCCTATAGCCTCTTAACTTTTTCACTTGTGGCAGTGCTGCATTGCATCATTTACATCCAGTTCATATCCTGCAGGTGATGGTTGACGTGGATGACAAGAATGAGTGGAAGGAGTGCATCGACATCGGAGGTGTTCGTCTTCCCACTGGATATTTCTTTGGTGCCTCAGCAGCTACAGGAGATCTGTCCGGTAGGTCGGCGCTGGAAAGCTGCAAATTTATTCCTCTCATAACCTTTTTATTACATTTTTGAAATATTATATAACAGATTTGCTAACAATTTAAACTTTTTATGTTGTACTATTATGTTCCAGATAACCATGATATCATCTCCATGAAGCTCTACCAGCTGATGGTAGAACACACCCCCGAGGAGGAGAACCTGGACTGGACCAAGATCGAGCCCAGTGTCAGCTTCCTGAAGTCTCCTAAAGGTAGATTAAACTATAAAAGGAGACTTGATTTAGAATTTGGTGTCTTCCATATCTGTATATAGAAACACGTCTGATGTGTTTAAAGTTTCAGATAACAACGTAAAATCACTTTTGATTTTTACGATTTTTGCCAATGGCAAGACAACATACATGCACCTATGAAGCTACATATTCATGATTTTGAGTGTCGTGCGTTTAAAGGAATACTCACCCCTGTAGGTCTGATAGGTGCCTTTTTTTATTTTAACCAGTTCATGTTTGTGTAGTGTTTCAGGTTTATCTATTTCAAGCAAGTTTCCTGGGACAAAAAAAAAAAAACACAAACTGCAGCAACTCTGACCTGAACATGAAAATGATCATCCACTCTGTTCTTGCTCCCCAGACAACATTGATGATCCTACCGGAAACTTCCGCGGCACGCCCCTCACGGGCTGGAAGGTCTTCCTGCTTCTGCTGTGTGCTCTGCTGGGAATTGTCGTGTGCGCTGTGGTAGGAGCCGTAGTTTTCCAGAAGAGACAGGAGAGGAACAAGAGGTTTTACTGAGGAGAGAGGAGAGAGAACCACCTCATCAGAGAGGTGTTTGTTGGGGGATGAACTGTTTCCAGATGACAGATTGAGCACATTCAATGTGAAATTTTTTTCTAAAAGATTGTACAAATGTTTATATCTTTGGAAAGCTACTGCCGTGGGGGGGTGGGTGGGTGGGGGTGTGGGGGGGTTTGGTAACTTGTGATGTTGGTAAGAAGGTGCAGAACTAGTGGCTACCATCACGAGTGACCCTGATAAATGCCTTTTTTTGTTTTCCATGTCTTTGTGTTCAGTCATTGCAGGGTTATAATAAGTTTACTGTCACAAAATTTTGCACTCAGTTTTTTCAGATTCTTTAAAGATTGTGTTCACACCTGCTGAATTAGGCGTCTCCAGCCCTTTTCAGCTTTTCTCTGCTTCAGGTGTGACACTGCAAAACGGTGAACTTTGGCAGCAAAAGGTAATTTAGATTTTATGTTTAAGTCCTCCAGGATGTTTATCTGATTATTTACTGGGAGAGGAAAAGTATCTCCACGCAAAAAAAAAGAAGAAAGAATCTAATATATTTCATTGTGATGAACTGTGGCTGTTGTTGTGTCCTGCTCTGCTAAAATACAAGATACTGACAGGATACAAAAAGAATCCAGTGTTGCTCATTTTTAAGCGTTAGCATTTTAAAGTAATTTAGAATTAATTGAAATTGTGCACAACAAGCTCTCCATGTATATTCGAGAACAGTGGATATCTAGGAGGATTGTGGAAAAGGTATTTTGTCAGTAACCACTATATGTACACAACAGTACTGAGAACTTAGTGATCATAATGCCTCTCTCTGTTTTTATCTTGATTTGAATTTGCAAGATGAGTATCAAACATCAAAGTTCGCCTGTCAGTACTATGATGTCTTCATTCTTGAATAGATAAAGTTTGATTTATTATTATTATTTTTTTTATTAGTAGGTGGCACTCTTCTTTTTGTCATCCATGTAAACTATCTCTGTTCATGCTACACACCCAGTTGTTCTGTTAATTCCAGACTGATTATGTGAAACACCAAGGTTTCTCATTAGGTTTCTTGTTTCTCGTTAGGTTCTCATTTAATCATGGCGTTTTTTTTTTTTTTAAGAAATAAGAAAACCAGTGAATAATCACATTTGAGAAGCTGGAGCTAGAGAAATTGTTGGCATTTTTTTCTTGATGAACAATATAATGATGAATTCATTAGTATATTATAACAGCATCGGGTATTAAGCTACCACGCCACAGACGTCCTCAGCCAGGGCCATCTGTTGTCAAGTGTTTCGACCCGGGGGGTCCGCATCTTGAGATTATAAAAGTTGTTGCCAATTCATTTGTGCCAACTGATTAATTGATTAATCGACTAAATGTTACCAGAAAATGGACAGAAATTTCTATCAGAATGTTGAATCACTGTTGTGTTATATCAGAGATGAAGAGCAGCAAATTGTCATTGACCTGAAAATTTTAAGAATGTCACTCTACACTCCGATCGTTATGAGGGACATCTTGTGAAGCTTTTACTATGTAACACAGCTTCTCCATGGTCTAATACAGCAGAATAGGGCCACCTGAAAGAGTTCAGTGCACAGGTGGAAGGATCCTGTAAACTGAATATTTTATGTTTTTTTTTTTTTTGTCTCCTCTCTGCAGGGTTTTATCTAGAATATGACTGTTATTTTTCTATATGTTTGTTTTCAGTTAATAATGCTAAAAGTTGGTGATTTATTTCAATTCTTCACTATAACCAATGTTAGTATCATTAACAGTTACAAATTCAAGCCGTGTTAATCATGAAGCTGTCTCTTACAGAAGAGGAGGTGTTTAACCTTGAAGTCCATGGATGGATTGTTCAATGTCACATTTACACTTTCTTTCAATGTCATGTTTCTTTGTTGGTTTTCTCTGAGCTTTCATTTCCATTATCTTCCTGTTTGGTTCTGATCCTACATTTAAAAAAGAAATTCTAAAAGTAAAATTAGGGACATGATCAGATAGTTGTACTTAAATGACTGCTGAATCACAGATTGTCTTTTTTTTAATCTTTTAGTTTAAGTTGGCATTTTTATCTGTGTTCCTTTGTTCTTGAAGCCCGTCTGTGTTTGCCTCTGCCACATCAGTTAGGTTTGTGATGAGACTTGAAACCTCTCCTCATCAGAAATAATGTATTAAAATGAAAAAGAAACCATATGGCTTTGAATTGTGTGTTTTGCTTTAATTCAATTGGAATAATCATGAATTTTTGTACACCACCCTGACCCAGAATGCAGTTGTGCTCTCCATTGGTGTGAAACTGCCAAACTTTCTTAAAATTATTTGCCTAGAATCATAAGAAACAACAGTCTTAATGTCTTAATATTACAGTCTTAATACTGAATCTTATAACCTTAAAACTCTTAACCTTTTTAAAAAATCAAATATCAGGAAAACTTACTTTTGTATCAAAAATCAGTGGTGCCCTCTTTTACATACTTACATTATTACTATAATAAGATGTAAACAATATTTTAATGTGGCACATGACTTGTATAGTGGCAAGAAAAAAGAGAACTCTTTGGAATTATCTTCATTTATGTATTCATTCATTGTATTGTTCTTGTCCATAATGTATACATCTTTAAAATATTCAAAGTGTAGATTGGAAAAATTATGTGAACCCCTGTCCTAATCAAGCACGGATAAAAAAAAAAAACCACCAGGGGCCTCCGACCTCTAGGGGGCGTCCAAACCCCCAACAACTCTGGCCTCATCCTGGCTTTTAAAAAATTTTTTTTTTTAATCTTTTTCTTTTTTTAATCAAATCAAATAAATTAATTGCGTGTGTGTGTTGAAATATTAATCAATGAATGCAGAGTAACTTTAGTTACAAATAAGAAAAAAATAATATGATTGGTTTGCTGGCTGCGTGATGACGAGTCAGGTCGGGTGAGGTCAGGTCAGGTGACCAAATTTAGCGGCAAAGCCGACCGGTCGAAGTGAGGAGGAGATTTCGTAAAGCGTCATGAAAAACAAACATTGGAGCAATGGGGCAGCAAAGAGAACGGCGAAAAAGGAAAAGGATATTAGAGAGACCGATATTTGGAAAAACAGAACATTTCTCTCGAGTTTTTACAAAAGTCGGCTTGCTAGCATTAGCAAAGAGCCTGAAGAGGACGGTGCTAACGACGAAGAGGAAGAGCAGCAGCAGCAGCAGCAGCCAGCTAGAGCCACAGTCCCGTAGTTTGTTCGTGCAGTACCGGACAACCACCTGTTCAACTGCCACACCCTCATCTCCACCTGTGCCCGAGGCAGAGGTAGGTTACCAGTTTAGCAGCCCCACAATTTATCCATTACCTTTTACCCATTTCAACCATTAGTAATTTTTAGCTAACTATTTCAACCATTTGGGCCAGGTGCCAGGATGAAGTACAAAGGAGGCTGTTAAAAATATGAGCGGGCTTTACTTTTTTCATATAATGAAGTTATTTGATATTTAACCTCATGGCTAAATAACAACAATGTCCATAGAACATTTTTTCTCTGGTAGAAATCCTTAAAAGCTGTGTTTATCCAACTTGATATGTTCTCCTAAATAGTGCCATTTTACTTTTAACGCTGTTTTGTTGCTTCGTGTTTCTGGTATGTGGTGTAAATCTTGTTTGATAGAATATATACAGGTGTTGTTGTTGTCCTTCAGGTTGTATCTTAGGCTGTAGCCTGTTAGTGTAAATTGTATATAAACTACAGGTGTTTCCAACGGTTGGCAGGCGTGGTAACGGTAACTAATGGAGGTGGGGCTTAGTGAAGAGTCAGTTAAACTGTTGATGCCCCGCCCACTCTAGCTCGCTCAGTAGCGCGCTGTTCTTTAGCCAACATCTGAGGCTACCTCTGCTGTTCACCCAGCATTTCGTAAACCAGATTGCGCAAGCTCCCAGTTGTTCGTCAAATCACCACCTGTCGGCTACAAACGCCAGTTCAAGCGGGACCCAGAGTTTCTCCTCCTGCTGTGGACAGTGTGCCACCACTTTTTCTCAGCAGTTACCTCTCCATTGAGATGCTGAGGGTCATCAGTGCTTCACTTCATCCAGCCAAGTATGTGCTGTTTGCTAACATGCTACTCACAGTTTAATTTCTTGATCTCTGCTCAGCTGCTGTTTTTCTGCTTGAGTTTTAGGTTGTTGTTGTTTCCTTGATGTTTTCTTGTGGCTGCTTATTTCTGCTCATTTCCAATGTGCAGTAGAACTATTTGTATTGGTGTTAGTTGTGAAAGTCATTTTTAATACTGGTTGAAATCTACTTTGTTGCTTGGCATTCATACTTGTTGGTCTAACATAAGCACTCATCTGCGAGTAATATGTATAATATAAGCATAAAAATGTATAATTCCTAGATTATTTCCACTTGATGGTACTTTATACTTCAGTCCACTACATTTCAGAGGGAAATAGTGTACGAAAAACTTCAGTTACAAGTTATTTTGATTTTACAAACAAAACACATGATCAGCTCATAAACTGATGCATTTTATAGATTAAAGCCCCTCCACATATACACAGATGTTTTCAGTTATGTAGCTTATTAAAACTGCTCAGGATGAGAGTCAATAAAGTTGTAACTTTAAACTAACAGCAGAGCCTCTGAAGTCCAGAGAAATTACTAATTTTTATGTTGTTTTATCTGTGTGCTGAAAATATTATCTGGTGCACATAAGATTTTTTCTTGCAGGACCTTGGGGGTCTATAATTTAACACTCCTCTGCAAAATTCTGCCATTTTTCAAAAAGAGTATGACTATTTTGGATGCTTTAACTACAGTTTGCTGGTAATACCTATGTGCTTTTACTCAAGGAGAGTTTTGAGAGTTTTGAATGCAGGCCATTTACTTTTAACAATATTTATGCATTGTGGTATTGTTACTTTTACTTAAGTAAAAGATTTGAGTACATCTTCCACTACTGTGGGTATTGTTGACTTAATGGTTTTGCAGTATATTTACAGATACCTGGTTTTCTCTGGGCTCTCAGGAGTCTATTTCAGCTGGTTTCATGCATGTGTATATATAACTGTTGACTTGCTCATAGCCTTCTCATATTTAATTATCCGTAGTATTGACCTCATGGGAAACTCAGAACAATGGTGTTACTTGTCAGCTTGAGTTACAAATCTTTACTGATTACACCTAAACTGCTAAGATCAAGGTCTCAGTCAGGGATTTTTGTGAGTTTGATTTGCTTCAGTTAATAATTACCTGCTGCATTGTTGACGTGCTCGAGCCTGTTGCTGTGTATCAGGTGGATTGCTGGGATTGGATTTATCCATCTCACTTCACCAGGTCCTCTATTGCTTTTTTGAGGGAGATATGTATTCACTTGAATAACTCTGTTCCACATTGGTTAGTCACTAAAAGCAGCTAAAGGGAAAGTATTAGTAGTATCACGACTTGATCAGTTTGTCCCTAATGGAGTATTTTTCCCCTCAAGTTTGATTTATGATTGTAGATATTAAAGTCAAGTTAGAGTTCTGTCCAAATTTTAATATTAAGGATAATTGTTGAGTCAGTTTTATCTACATAATGTGCGTATGTCTTTAATGATAAAAACCCATCATGATTATTGGGGATGATTCTGGTTCTTTATACATCATCTTGCACTTCACTAATTTCATTGTGGTTAAATCAACACTATTCCCATAACATTTGTGTTCAGATATGCAACAAAAGTCAAGTTTAAATTATTAGTGATGTTGTGTTTTTCTTTTAACCACAAGATGGTGATATAGTATTGATTGTCATCCTCTGTGAGAGAACAGTGCAATAACACAGCTGTGTGTGTGTGTGTGTGTGTGTGTGTGTGTGTGCGTGTGTGCGTGTGTCTGTGTGCGTGTGAGTGAATTCTGAACACTGATCATTCTCTGGCTTTGAAAAACCAAAACTCTTTTCGAGGTATTGCTAACAATTGCATATTATTTCAGGTAAGAGAACAATGTATATAAAATAATTTAAAAAATCATTACCACAATAAACATTATTGATTAACCTTGTTAATCATTAGAGGCTGAAAATTATATAATTTATTTAAAAACATACTTTTTTAATCCTGCATTACCTGAACACACACACACACACACACACACACACACACACACACACACACACACACACACACACACACACACACACACACACACAGACACAGGGTTTAAAGATCCTCTCTTGACCCTCAGGCCCCAGTCCCACAGATGATGTGAAAATCTGTCTTCTATCAGCATCCCCCATCACTTTCTACACGACACTGAAAGAGTATTCAAGCACGTCATTGAATTTTCATTACCCAGCGCGGCTGCACAGTGTGGCAGCCCGCTGGCTCCACACACAGACTATCAATCTAGCCAACCATTCACTTGTGTGTGTGTGTGTGTGAGTGTGTGTGTGTGAGTGTGTGTGTGAGTGAGTGTGTGAGTGTGAGAGACAGAGGGAGAGAGAGTTACAGGGGCAGCAGTTTAAATAGCCCACAGTTTATACTTCCACTTTCACACCTGGAAGCTGTGATCGACTGGAAACCTGACTGACAGAGTGAGCTCTTGCCTCAGGGTCGATGGCCTACATCTAAGAAACCTTCCCACCTGGGACTAAAAGACATGTTAGTTACAGCACAGAGGGGAGGGATATTAGATTTATGGCTGTAACTCAGGATTATTTTCATTATTGATAATCTAATGACTATATTTTATAAATAATGGACATTTAATGGTAGAAATAGTATTCACAGAGTCCAAAATGTTGTCTTGCAATTGCATATTTTGTCTGAACAACAGCTAGAAAACAGATGGTTTGAGTTTGTAACGATATGAGGTGGAGATAAACTTAATTTCCCCACATTTGAGATTCTAATATATGACATTGTGATTGATTTTCTTGAGATTATAAACTGATGTAGCCCCAAAACGACAAGCTGATTTAGTTGTGTAGGAGATTTTTCACTCTTTTTCACCATTTTATAAACTAAAGCTTCAAACAAATAATGGAAAAATAATTGACAAATTAATTGGCAATGAAAATAAACTTAAGTTTCACCATAAATCAGTTATTGCTTGTATTAATGTGCTGTTAACCATACAGTCAATTGTTAGATTTTGTTCTCTTTGAAGCAAGCCCTGTTAAGGAAACAGCATCTGCTCAAAAGCTTTAGATACACATGAACCAATGAATGCCGATGAATGTATACAAGCAGATCAATGTAAAGACAAGACACTATTTATGATTTCACATGCCTCTAAAGGCTGCTACACATTGTGCACTCTGCTTTGTGCCCTGTAATGCTCTGTAACTAAAGAAATATTAATTTTGTGTCCATTACGAAAAGAGAACAAAATCTTCCCAGTCTCAGCAGTTTGAAATGGTTTTGTAAGTCAGTGGGTGTCAACAGGCAGTGATATGTGAGTCAGTGTCTCTACAGCTCTGATTTGGTGAAAATATGGATGGAATAATACAATATGTTTTAAATTTAATCTGAAGGACGTCATGTTCCTCTGTGAATCTTCTCAAAACTTGTTAATATGTGTGACATGTCAAATCAGCAGATACCTCTCAAAAATGTTACAATGCAGCCTTGTGTTTCAGGCTCCTCTCGGCTCATGCTAGTGCCTTCTAGAGGCTGCAGTGTTCACAGCACCCCACAATGCTGTGTTCTGGACAGAACTAACAGCATATTGATAATTTAGTTATTCTTAAAACACACTGTACGAGAACAAAGTCATCAATTTGCATAATTCATCTGCGCCTCATGTTTTCAAAATTCAGTTGGTTTGCAGCTGGCAAATGAGTCTTCTGATTTGTGGTGGTTGTGGAGTAAGATGACTGCTGTTTGCTTGGGGGTGCTTGGGTCAGTGTCCCAGAACACGCACAGCGGCCCACCAGGATTTGTTCCAGTATGCCAGATGGCCAGTCAGATTATGAGGTGTTTTGTTGTACCTGGGAGGTGCGCACACCGAGTACGCCAGCGGTCGGGATGAATATCAGAAGGTAATAAAAAATCTAACTTAATGTTAGCTAGTTAAATGTACCTCCCTCTCATGTCTTTTTCTCTCCTTTCTCTCTCTCTGCCTCTTGTCTCGTCTGGGTGTCGCGACATGTCTACACTGCCTCTCTCCGATGTTTAAAAGCCCAATGCAGAGTTGTGTAATTGTGACTTCATGACATTGCAGCGTTACCAATAACTGTAGCTGTAGGCCGCTGCTACAAAACGTATAGGTGGTAACCATTTAGAAGTGAAGAAGCGACTGTGTCGATAACGGGAACTGAACAGCCTTTGTTGAAA